GGTTGGTTGGTTGGTTGGTTGGTCGGTTGGTTGGCTGGCTGGCTGGTTGGTTGGTTAGTTGGTTAAATTATCAATCAAATAATTGATTGATTAATTTAGATATCATATAATCTGCCACCTATCTGATCAATTGAAATCGTATTTCCACTAACTCATTTCACAACTTCTAACCAACAGTCCACAACTAATTAACCGACCAATTAGATCAGTTTTCTCATTCAACTGACCAATAAAATTAATCTCACAATTTAAGCTATCAACCAATAATAATTGATTGATCTCTTATTTAAGATCTTCTGGTTCATCGAGCCGACGGAAGAAAATTTGAAACTGTATGAAAACTGGACTCTGTCAGCCAAGCAGTCGGACATCTTTTTTGGAGATCTTGTAGAGCAGTGCTACAGAATTACATTAGAGGCGGGAAATACCTTCTTCATACCAACGGGTCGGTGTTTGTGTGTGTGTGTGTGTGTGTGTGTGTGTGTGTGTGTGTGTGTGTGTGTGTGTGTGTGTGTGTGTGTGTTTGAATGGTGTTGAATGTGGATGTGTTTATGTGTATGGTGTATGTGTGTGTTGTTTGTGTGTGTGCGCGCAAGTATTTTAATGTGCTTCATCCGTACATTCATTCATGCATTCGTTCATGCATTCATTCATGCATTCATTCACTCATTCAGGATGGATACACGCGGTTTACACGCCAAAAGATTCGTTGGTGTTTGGCGGGAACTTTTTACATTCGTTCAGTATCGAGAAGCAACTCAGGATATGGGAAGTAGAAAATAAAACTAAGGTGCCTGTGTGTGTGTGTTCGTGTGTGTGTGTCTGTGTGTTCGTGTGTGTGGAATATTGTGTATTTATATTCGTGTCTGTGTGTTTGTTTGGGTTTGTGTTTGTGTGTGTGTGTGTGTGTGTGTTTGTGTGTGTAGTCATCGTCATCATCATGGCCCATGTTTCCACCAGGTCCCAATTAAGTTTCGCTACCCTTTCTTCACCGAACTGCACTGGTACGTCCTTGAGAGGTACCTCCACGCTATTGGCTGCAAGCAGTACAGGGTCAAGGTCGACGACGATGATAATGATAATACCGGTTGGCATTATTATTATTATTATTATTATTATTATTATTATCATTATTATTATTATTATTATTATCTTATATTATATGAAATGCTTATGTGCAAATGGATTGAAGAATTACCGTTTAAAATGTACGGCGGGCACTGTAGAATATCTTTATAATTAACATTATAAGTTTTATTCGTTTTAACTTTATAATTAAATTGTGCATTATGTTAATTTTGTCATGGATTTACTTGAAAATTGTGTTAGAATTAAATTTACTTAAATTTAAATTTACTTAAATTTACTTGAAAATTGTGTTAGAATGAACAATTTGTGAATGGGGGCCTGCGACACAAGAACTTTGTTTTCTTTTAGCTTTGGTCTCCTAATCATTACCTAATTATTATTAATTTGGATTGATTGAATAAAATTTGATTTGATTTGATATAAAATTACAATGCATGTTTTAAATGGAAATTGAAAGGGATGTTCCCATTATTGTTGTTGTTGTTGTTGTTGTTATTGTTGTATCATTGATGATACCTCATCACCCGTCTTCTCTAGATATTTATAGCTACAACAACGCCGTGAAATGTGAGGACGATACTTCTACTACTACTACTACTACTACTACCACTACTACTACTACTACTAATAATAATAATAATAATAATAATAATAATAATAATAATAATGATGATGATGATTATGAAGATGATGAAGATGATATCAAAAAAGACAATAGAAATCTGTTAGTATTTATTACTATCGTAGTTATTGTTCGCTATTTGGACCATGTTTGTTTGATTTATATTAAGTTGAAAAAATTTTATACGACATTGTGACTTGCCTATCGTCACAGTTTGCTATTTGTCATTATTGTGTTGGTTTAATGGTTGAGTAAGATGCGTGTGTATATGTGTATGTGTGCGTGTGTATGTGTGCGTGTGTATGTGTGCGTGTGTATGTGTGCGTGTGTATGTGTGCGTGTGTATGTGTGTGTGTTCATAAAAACGAGAATTGTAAATGTATGTGTGAGTGCATGTTTCTGTATGTATGTATGTATGTGTTTGTATACGTGTATACACCTATGTATGCTTTTATACGTTCTCTATGCTAATTATGAAAACAGGTTAAAAACGGATCTTAAAAAATTGATGCCCCCACCACCACCATCATCATCATCAACATCGTCATCATCAAAGTTGAAAATAAATCCAAACAAGCATCTGACGATATTCGAGATGAAAGGATTGAGGGCAATTGCTGATTGGCTGTTCAGTTTAAATGGAGCGAGACGATTGGTTCCAGCTGATATAAAGGAGCCAGATCATTTGCTGGCAGACGTAATGGTTGGTGTGGCTTATTTTGATTGGTTTTATGGTCAATGTTTGATCGTATTAAGCTGTTGAATTGTTGGTTGGTTGGTGGTTGGTTGATTGGTTGGTTGATTGATTGAGTAAGTGAATGATTGGTTGATTTATTCATTGTCTCATTTGACCATCAATCATATGAAAATTTTTTTTCCACATTCATTGATTGGTTAATACTTCAAACTAATCGACCAATCATATGACTACAATTTTATTGACCTATTAAGTAACGACCAATCCTTTGACTACAACTCTATTGACCTATTAAGTAACGACCAATCATATGCAGGCAATGCTTTCTCGTTTGGACGTAAGTGACCATAGGAAAGCTGTCACTGGGGAGCCTATCCTTGAGAAGCTGGCTTTTAAGGTCAGGGTCATGTTGGTGATAAAAATTATTATTGTATTATTATTGTTATTATTATTATTGTTATTATTATTATTATTATTATTTTCTTTTGTGTTGTTACCGGATGTTGTAGCAATCTCCACTCAATCATCTTTTGACTTTTTTTTCTATTTATTAATCCTTATTCGTTTTATACGTACTAACTCTATGGTTGTTTCATTTTGTAACAAATCATCGTCATCATCACATCATCATCATTATCATCACCATCATCATTATCATCGTCACCGCGTCTTCGTCACCATCATCATTATCATCACCACCTTCATCATTATCATCACCACCTTCATCATTATCATCACCACCTTCATCATTATCATCACCGCGTCATCGTCACCCTCGCCATCATCGTCATCATGATTTCCCTTCAGTTTAAGTTCACCTTTAGATTATTTATAATTACAGAAGAGTAGAAAGCACATCACTACTCCGCGGGGGGCAGCTGGCCGATCTCGACCATCCTCCTCCACCACCACCTCATCCCACCATCGAACTCCCGGCACTTCCATCGTTGGCAGTGTCTGGAATTATAGGTACGATGATGATGATGATGATGATGACGATTGCGAAGTACATACACACATACATACATACATACATACATACATACATACATACATACATACATACATGCACGCATGCATACATTTATACATACATACATACATACATTTATACATACATACATACATACATACATTTATACATACATACATAGATGCACACATACATTCCTTCCCAACACACACACTCACGCACACACATATCCACACTCGCACACATTCCTACACGCACATTCCTTCCCCACACACACACACACACACACACGCACGCACATTCCCACACATTCCCACACATTCCTACACACACACACACACATTCCCACACATTCCTACACACACACATTCCCACACACACACACACATTCCCACACATTCCTACGCACACACATTCATACACACACACACATTCATACACACACACATACATACACACACACACACAGACGCGTAAGATGTCGCCAGTGCGAGCCATGTACAAGGACAGACTGTGGCGAGTGTTACGCCTGTAGGGATATGAAGAAATTTGGTGGCCCTGGTACCATCAAGAAGCCCTGCCTTTCTAGGCAGTGCATGCAGGTGGGTGGCTGGATGGGTGACTGGTTTGTTAGGTGGGTGGGTGGGTGATTGGTTTGTTTGTTGGGTGGGTGGGTGACTGGCTTGTTGGGTGGGTGGGTGATTGGTTTGTTTGTTGGGTGGGTGACTGGCTTGTTGGCTGGATGGGTGGGTGACTGGCTTGCTGGATGGGTGGATGAATGGCTGGATGGGTGGGTGGGTGGTTGGGTGACTGGCTTGTTGGGTGGCTGGCTGGGTGGGTGACTGGCTTGTTGGGTGGGTGGGTGTGCCTCATAATTTTATCTGTAATTATTAATAATAATTTATAATAATAAATGATGATCAATTATTATTACAAGTTATTATAGTTGTTGTGGTAGCTTTGATTAGTGGATTTATTGTATTCTATGTAGGTGGGGCCTTTTAATTTTTAATAATAATAATAATTAATGATATTATTATATTTAATAATTATATTAATAATTATATTTATAATAATATTATGAATTAGGATTGTTTTTGTTGTTGTTGTATTTGTTAATAGTTGAGATCTTGGCATGCTGGTTGGTGTCGTAATCATTATAAGTGTTGATAATTAATAACAATTTTTATCTCAATTAATTATCATTATTGTTAATTATAGTTGTTGCTGATGTTGTTGTTGATGTTGTTGTTGTTGTTGATGTTGTTGTTGTTGCTGTTGTTGATGTTGTTGTTGATGTTGCTGTTGTTGTTGATGTTGTAGTTGTGTTGTTGATGTTGTTGTTGTGTTGTTGTTGCTTTGTTGAGATCCTTACAATGCATGGTGGCTGGCGTTATAATTACAAGTATTAATGAGTAATAATAATAATAATTATTATTATAATATATTATTATTATACGTCCTACCTCGAGGAACCGGGTCTCTGGACGTTAAACGAAGATTGATTGATTGATTGATTATTATTATTATGATCATAATTATCATTTATTATTTCACCATAATTAATAATAATTATAATAATGATAAAACCGTCCAGCCATATTTGCCAGCGACGGCGATCTGCTTCACATGTAAGAAACCATCCCCAGATAAGAAACCATCAACAGACCCAGACGTCTGCCTCCTGGAGTGTACCATCTGCTTCGAGGTTCAGCACCGGAAGTGTCTGGAGGAGAGGCTGACCGAAAGAATGACGTCATCGTCGCCGACGATGACGTCATCACTAGAGAATGGCGTCGTAGATGAGGACTATCCGCACAGTTGGGAGTGCACGAGGTGTTGTTCGGAGGGCAAGAAGGGGCAAGGAAAGG